ATTCAACGGCCATAAAAATTATTTATATTAATGATGTCTCCAAAGGTCAAGTTATTTTTCTGCGAAAAATTATTTATTAGAAATCGCGGCCGCCGTTTCGTGTGCTGTTCCGCGACGAAGACAAGCTTTGAACAACGGGCGTAGTCGAATGGTGCACACTCGATAAGTAATCCTATAATTTTTTGTTTATAGCATACTTTATACAGATTATTCCCAAAAAATTATACGTGTTTTGGAAATTTTGAGTGGAATTAGTCTAGAATCGGTTAATTTTATAGAAGAAAACCTTTCAAACAGCCTTAGTCCGTAAAGTTCTCACCTATCGGGCTACGATTGGCTCATGTATTTAATCATTCCTACAACGTAAAATTCGATTAGCGTGGAACGTATCTAAGCGTTATAGGGGGGTCTACTGTACTTAATTTATCTCAGAGTAAACATCGACATTTAAGTCAATTTTGTTGCTTAAAGTCTTACCAAATAATAAATAAAGAAAGTGGTAAAAATAAAAAGACAGTCGTTCTAAAAATTCTCAAATTTATTGTTTTTTCGAACATAAATTTGTTTATAATTGTGTAAACTACAATTTCTTATTAAATTATTTTGATGTATAGGCCTATTAGTAGTTTGATTTTGGTATATATAATTTACTCTAATTATTCGTTAACATTCTTATTTATAAAGATGAGATATAAAACTACTGTGAGCGTGTTAATAACGGACGTATATAGATATTAACGGCAGGAAGGCCACGGCAGATTATGGAGAGACCCGGAAGACTTGTTTCTAATTATTTATGGACAGAGATATGGCGAGCCCCGTATTTTATCTTTTAGCCGCCTTCTTGTGGGCCTGGCCAAACCCACGAATAAAAGTTCTGTTATATTCCCGAGATAGAAAGCGTCAACATAGCCTATACAAATATTGCACTTCAGCAGAAATAGAAAGAGCTAATTATTAGACAATTTCCTACATTTAGAGAAATAGTTAATTACAAATTTCTCAACTTTTAAAGATTGCATTTGGAAAAATCAATTAAAGATGTGATAAAGTTACCAATATTATTATTATTATTATTATTAAGAAATTATAACAAATACATATATGTTCCTAAACATTTGGTTTTAGTTATGTGACTATATTTACCTTTACTTTGCTGTTTTTCCGTTATGTGCAATGCTCCTTGCTTTTATCAATCGCTAGTCGTTTTTATATCAACAGAAATTATTCCAGGAATTTCTATATGTTTATATTTGTAAGTTATATTATAACACTAAATGTATTAAATTCACAATGTATCTTATTTCCTAATAATTTATTATATACAAAGTAAATTAATTTTTTTCGTTGAATGTTTGCATTCTTGCTGTCTTCGACGTTGGCAATCGTTTTTCAAAATCGAAATTATTCGTGTTTTTCTAAAATGTTTTAAATATTTAAAGTTTTTCTTATTGTATTAAAATAATCATCATGAAGATTAGATTAAATAATATTAAAAGAAGGTTTGGAAATTTAAAATGAGAAATTCAATACCTTGTTTTTTTAGTTTCAACTGAAATTCGTTAATCAGGTAACCCGCATTCCTTAAAAATTAGCCGATATTATGGAATTGTATGATGATAAACTGGGATGCTCGTTTTATGCAAATCGGAATTTGTTAGGACAAGCGCTAGTTTCCGGACGGAAATCTAAATATATAAAATTACTTGTCCTGACTGACTGACTGACTGACTGAATGACTGATTCATCATCGCCCAGAGCAAACCGCTGAACCTAAACATGTGAAATTTGGTATACAGTTAGGGTACGTCATGAAAACGCACACTAAGAAGGAATTTTTCGAAATTCCCATGCGGGGGGAAGGGAGAGCATTAAGACAACCGGAAAAAACGGATTTTACTGTACTATTTCAGATGCGATTTTTTGTTTTTATCTGCGTTTTAGTAGGGTATGCCATGAAAACGTACACTGAGAAGGGATTTTTCGAAATTTCCCCGCGGAAGGAGAGGAAGATCATTAAGGCTTAACCTGAAGAATGGCTTCTACCGTACTATTTTAGATGCGATTTTTTTGTTTTCAACTACGTTTAGTCTTCATTGAGTACTTAGGTGTATTACTGTAAATTAATAACATTTCAGACATTGTTATAAATATTTTTATCTATTTCGGTTTTAAAATGTTCGAACCGTTTTAAATTCGAATTTGTTATTGCATATTGGTTCAATTATAGAACGATTCCAGAAAATTGATCAAATTAAAAACAGTTCGTTTGATTCTCGGCAATTCTCTTCAGCGGTAGGTGTTATATAACAATTACTATGGTTATTGAAATATTGAATGTAAATGGGGTTTGCTTGCAAAATCTGCGCGGACGAAGTCGCGGGTAACAGCTAGTTAATATATAAAAGAGTAGAGTTAATGATAAGTCATATTGGGCGAAACATCGAACTTTGTGCTTCTTGAAAAACATCCTTTCTTTTCCAGAACACCGGTTAACTGAATTACGGATGATAACACCGAATAAAGACCACTCACCACCTGCAAATTAATTACATTATTTCAGGACACGAATTGATTCTATCAGATTACATTAAAACTTACTCTGATGACAAAGTTTTTCTTGACGAAAAAGAATCCATTTACACATATTCCGAAAGGTCTTCCACCAAATTTTTTCATAAAGTCGATAATCTGTGTTAAAAACAGAAGATATTTCGTTAATAAAAATATTATAGTTATGTTATTTGTTAATATTTTCTTACTTTAAATTTATATTTCAAAGACAGATTACTAGAAGAGAATCTTCCCACAGAAATGTAATTATCGTACATCTGAAATAAAGACGAAAACATGTTTATAAATGGTAATTATTACGATAATACAAAATACTTACAATTGAAGTTAGAATCGATAATGCCCTAGAGACTGCAATACATCCGATTAAGAGAATCACGGCTATAATTATTGTGGCATTTTTCAACACTGGCATCATATCAACAAATATAGCGCCGTACAGTAGAAATCCTGTCACGTAAATAAAATGAGCATAGATCGCCGGAAGAAGAATATCCCATTGATTATTAAGAATGATGAAAAATCTTTGTATTTCAAGATGCTTGTACATAAAATGTTCCAAAAACGAACTCAACGAGACATCGTTGATTTTTCTTTCCGCCAATTGATATGTCATCACGACATATCTTTTTCCCAGAATGAATAAAATCGTGACGGCTATGGCGAAAACCGAAAATATCTGACCTACACCGTAAACGTTCCATATTGCCGCTATAAAGGTACAATACAATGCTTCCATTTCGCTGGAATTTGTAAGTAAATGGGAATACCAAACAGTGAATAACAGTAAAGATATTGTTATCATGGTGAAATAAAATAGTACGAGTATTTTAATTAGGTGTGCTTCCNCATATTGCCGCTATAAAGGTACAATACAATGCTTCCATTTCGCTGGAATTTGTAAGTAAATGGGAATACCAAACAGTGAATAACAGTAAAGATATTGTTATCATGGTGAAATAAAATAGTACGAGTATTTTAATTAGGTGTGCTTCCATTTCCATTGCCAATTGGTCTTCTCCCTCATAACTGCTTTTAGAAAAGTGGAGCGATAATTTTCTTCTCTTCGTGACGCTGAATTGATAAGCAACGTACATCGATGTGATTAATATTACAAAAATTGCCTGTTTCCCGTAAGTGTGTAACAAATAAATAATTCCGCCACAATAAACCGATTCCACAGTGGTAATTAATGTTAAATGAATGACAGTGTACCATAAAAATACTTCTATAATTCGAGTATACCAGAGGAAAGTTGTTGAAGAAGCATTCAGATGACAGCACGGATGGAACAAGTCCACTCCAAATACTTTAACAGCGGAAAGTAATGGATTCGTGATACGTGAAGGACAAGTGTGACGATCAGAGTAAGCAGCATCAAACATTTTCATGAATTGTACTGTTAGCGATTCCAGAAATTTATAAAGAAAGCAAATAATATTTGTAAAATTTCGCTGGATGAAGAAATTTTTTTAATAAATAAAAAGACAGTCATTTCCAAATAATATTTGTTAAAATGTTTTTATTGTGATTTCAAATTATTCAACTTTCATAATATAAAGGTTGCTCAAAGTACCAGAGGCCAAGTGAATATAACCATTGAAAATATAATTTAACTCTTATAACTCTTCATGCATCACCAATAAGCTGGTGGATTTTGCTATTTTCTTAATGTATATGATACCTAAATAGGTCATCCTCCCGGGAGTGACCTCTCCTTGTCAGATCGCTATGCGTTGCATTGCCTAACACCTTAAAACCAAAATTTAATGGAGCAGAACTAATTTCCTACAATTTGTTATGAAATTCCTTATAAAATTGTAACCATTTTAATTAATTTTTACATTTCTGAGAAACGACTTGTAAAGTCTACACTTTTCATGATATTAAACGGAGAATATGTCGTGTAACTTACGTAAAAGCATTCGTGCAAGAATTAAATGCTTTCAAGTAAATTGCTTAATAATAATTATATTATCATTTTACGTAATATGAGAAAACATTAATTAATCATTAAATTGATATTGTTATTTACTCTTTTCTGGATGAATGGACAAATATTTCATTATCGTAAAAGCATAACAAACCTTTGTTCTAATTTAGTTTGAATTAATTGGCCTAATAAATAGGATTGTAATAAATTGGAGATATAATAGGCTTATCACATCAGAGGCTTACTGGAATAAGTAGACTAGATTTTACTACAAACAGCCCTTAATTATCCTCGATCAAATTTTAGGGTTGCATTTCGGATACCAAGACCCCTACATACATACAGTATAAACACCAGTATTCATCAAGACCATCATAACATTAGTCATAAACCAAGACTGAAACATTTTCTGTATATATACAGTGCACTGTTAACATAATATAACTAATTCATTACAATATACCAAAAAGCAAAAATTACCGAGTATATAAATTTTAATAATGAGTTATATTTTATCCAGGACAGGTAAATTTCTCCCTCGTT